GAGAGAGAGAGAGAGAGAGAGAGAGAGAGAGAGAGAGAGAGAGAGAGGAAGAAAAAAAAACCCTCCACATTCTGTGGATTCTTGGGAGAGCGCCAAAGTCCCAGAATTCCACATGCCACACATAAGGTTTCAATTAAGGCCGAATCCAACGCTCAAATCAGAAAGCTTTCTTCCTCCTGAAAGGAGCCTTTCTTTTGACAGCTAGAGGCTGAAACAACCATAACTCAAGGTGACGGCTGTGCTGCCGTCCTCTCAGCTCATCATGTTTATCACAGATTTAGAGAAGTGTTAATTCCATTGAAAAGTGTTACTGAGTTACAGTTTGCAGTAAATCAAGCATGCATTTTTAGTTTAGAATGTTGTAAATGCATGACTTTATTATTGAAACATTCTGTAAACTCTATACGGGAGAGTCTTAGGGCCAGGCAAAAGGAAAACAATGAGAGGAGGAAGATGTTTTAGTTAGTAGTTTGATTCATTCTGAAAAGTTTGACGTTTACTCTTAAAATTTTAACTTTATTAGTGTTGGGGTTAGTCTAAGGTAAAAATCTTCCTCCTCTCATTTACTTCCCTGCCTGGCCCTGAAACTAATCCGGTACTTTAGCGCTGCAGTCTGTCACAGCCTTGATTGTCAAACCAGATCCATGAAAAGCATGAGTCAAGTGTCAGAGAGAGGTTCTCTTCTACTGACGCCAGAAAGTGCTGCGGATGTGGCCTGAACCGTTTTTACCGGAATACAGAAATTAAACGGTTATTTGGGAGCTTGAAGGTTTCATTTAATACTGTGACTGTCTTTCTTTCATGATGTACAAAATCCAATGGAAAAAGAATTGTGTCTGCTTTTTGTCGAGGGAACCAGAGAGATGCTAACTTCAAGGTCCACAAAAATACATCATCCCTGCAAAAGCTGCACTTTGTGTGTCATGCCAATATCATGCTAAAGCATGCCAGCACACTTATCTAAGATGGAGAACACGGTGCAACATTGAGCCTGCTAGACATCAGCATGTTAGCTTCACTGTTAGCATTTAGCTGAAGGCACAGCTGTGCCAAAGTACGCCTTCACTGCTGAACACAATTGAATGGAAGATCTCTGTAGTACAACTTTCACTTTCTGTACATTAAATATGCACAAAGATCTACATGCAGACTAGGACACCGTCAAAGTAAGTGTTTTTCCACACTGCAGTTATTTCACATCATAATGCAGTTAGGGAGCTGGAGAGTCAGAAAGAGAAATGAGTCAGAAAGGAGCCACAAAGAATATTTGCTGAATAGCTGCAGCAGCGTTGCATGCTCTGGCCCATCTTAAACAGAAACCATGTGCTGGAAACTCTGATTCAAGACAACCGGAGCTATAATGCATAAAACACAGCCTGCAGACACAGACCAGTTCAACTCACACCGACATATCCAGCGCTGATTCGTCAGAAAACGTGTCGATACTCGTTTCTGATGAAAATGTTTTTAAGAGACCATAAAGCAAATATGTAGCCTGTATGTGCACAGGTGTGTGTGTCTCTCTCTCTCTCACACACACACACACACACACACACACACACACACACACACACACACACACACACACACAGAAAAAGAGACAACACATTCAGTAGGTTTTCCAATTAGGAAATTTCTTTAATAAAGAAATCATAGTATCTCTTAAAGCTGAATAATATCTAATCAGATTATAAATACCCCCCCCCCCCCACAGCCCGTACCATGTACCTCAATTACATGCTAGTAAGAAACATCTTTCTGATCATCTCAGTCCTACGTCGTATAAAAATCACCAGGTAAAATGATTAGATGGTCGTTTCCACCTATAGAGCATCTATCAGTACATATAAAAATAAGTCTCATCAGCAGAATAAATAGATGCACCTGAAGACTGCTTCATCCAGCCGGTGTGACAGGGATTTCGTCCTTCATCTTATGCTGTGTTCAAGTGCTCTTCAAAACAAACATGAACCAGGTATGATGTCAACATACAAAGCAGAGGAAAAAAAAAACAAAAAAAAAACATGCCGCTGAAAAGTAAAATTCATCCGGCTCGTTCATTCATTTTGGAGAGGGCGGCCTCTTTCAGGAACACCTGGACGCGACATTTGTTATTATTGCACAGTGATGACATCACAGTTTCTCCCCAGCAAAATGTTGAGAGACAAAAGGGAGGTTGGTCTTCGGGTTGTCAACCCCCCTTCACCCTCGTCTCTCTCGCCTTCATCGTCTACACTCCGTTCTTCACCAGCTCGTGGACTCCGTTCCCGTCGATCATCAGGGTTGCATGAAACTCTCGTCCCTTCACCAGCTCCTCGAGGCCCTTGAAGGAGTAAACGACACCATCAGGACATTCACCGATCGTTCTTTAGGAGAAATTACTTATTTTATTTGGGAATTGTTCTACACACACCTAAGAGCAAACCTATGCACATTTGAGTGCTGACATTTTGGTGCTAAACCAATGGATATTATTCTACAGTTGTATAACATCATAGGCTATAAATCACAATAATATTTTATCATTCATTAACATTTTAATCATTGTTTTACAAACATTAGAGATCTAACCTTTTTTTTTTTTAAAAATGCATTAGTAGTGCACCCTTCTCTGAACACAGTAACGAGTACCAGAGTCCATGCATTTATGTTTTATCTGTCGGAGGCTCAGTCGATGTGACGCAAAGGATTGTGGGTCAGAATAGTCAGAAAAGTAAAATGCGGCCAGATGCAGTAGAACATCCTGGTGTTTTTAAGATACTGCATTTGACATATTATTTTTTCTGGCATACTAAATAGTACAGTAGTGTGGGTATTGGAACGCACCCTTTCGATTTCTGTGTGTGCACACGGTCCTGCAGTCTCGAGCACTTTTATGTGGATTGGCGGAGCTTTTTGTAGCTAAATTGGATCAACTGGCTTTCAATTTACGAGGACAGTGGGATTCATCATTATAAAGAACACAGGTGCGAACATTAACGTTTAACGCGTCATGGATCTGACGTAGACTTTTCTTACGACCTTTCTCTAGAACAAATTTTAATGAAATTTGGTGAATGAGGCTCATTGTTAGAGGTTGTACAAATAATTTCAGGCCGACAGCAGAAGCAGAACAACATCTAGAGTTCCCAATTAGGCCTCGCCCTCCTTACCTCTCCCCCGTAGGACACCAGCGGGGAAATCTCACATTTGATTGGCAGGTCTGTTCCGTCCTTCAGGCTGCGTAGGGAAAGGAACAAATCAGAAGAAGAAGAAGACAAAATGAAACAGAATGAGTGATTGTCTCATGAGAAGGGCGGCGGGAGTGTAGTTGAGAGAAGCAGCTGTACATCCTTGACACAGCTGTTCTTCTACTGCGGCCGGCTTGTGGTTAGAGTTCAAAAGTCAGAGGATTAGAGATTCATCATTCCCAAACATGACCAGTGATTAGCCACCATGACCCGTAACAGACTTCCTCTAGAAGAAAACAGAGGAATGACAGGGAATGTGGTTGCATCTCCTGCCAGTGCTTCTAACAAGAAAACAGGGGTAAACTTGCCTCCACATTGCCGTCACTCAACATGTTTATTTCTAGATAATCATTACAGACAGCGATCACTAATCACCAAGTGCTCCAGATGTTTTTCTGAGCAGCTGCCCTGTATCATTAGAATAAGGAAAGGAAAAGCTGAATGATTGAGGAAAAGGCATACCCTTAAAGAGCCAGAATAACATTCATTGCTGCCATGAATGTTACTGAAGCACATGCTCATTTATTATTATGTCTTGAAAAAAAAAAAAAAAAAAAGCAGGTGGATTTAAACTCAAAGGCTGACTAGCAAGCGATGAACGGCTGGGCTTGTCGTCACGATTTTGCACACAAATCAACAGCTTCATCATCTATTGCAGAGTTGCCACTGTTTGCCAGAACGGTGCCCATTACCCAGCATGCAACACATTATGCGTATTAGTAGCAACTTTCTGACGGGTAAAATGATCCGTCAGCAGGTCGTTATGACATGTACATCATCTGACCAGGACGCGGAGAGCGCTGTGTTTTTCAGTCGTCCGAACTGATCCTCGCTGTCATTTCCTTCATCACAACTGGCTCTAAAGAGACAAGAACAAAAATGGCTGCCGCCTGGCGTGCGTCCACGCAGAGTCCTCTCGTCAGTGGTAATGAAGGAAAGGGGATCAGAAGTAATGTTATATCGTGTTAACACGTCTGAGCGAGCGAAGAAAGAAAGCCAGAACCCCATCACCATGCACTCAGTACTGCAGGGGGATAATAATTACTTTCTGTTGCCATCATCTGTGAAACGGCCTGCTGCTCCGTCTCTGGAAACATTTCACGGGACACACAGGAGCAAGACCAAACATGAGAGGGAAGGGGAAGTGAGAGTGTGAGGCTCAAAGAATATTATGTCTATAACACAAACAAATAAAACAAAAAAGCCAATGTTTGTACAGTGTGGGGAGTGTTGGGAAGGTGGAAGTGACCACGAAGATGTGTGTGTGTGTCTTAAAGTGACATGACATGCTGCTGTGTTTTCAGCAGGCTGTCTGTGGTCACCTGGGTATGGCGGGCACGTGTCTGCCGTTCTCGTCGATAAAGTGGCCCCCGGCGTTGAGCACCCAGCGGTGGTGGAGGGACATGAGGGCGTGTCTGGCTGTGGTGGGCGTGTCCTTTGCGTCCTGGCTGTCTGCATTCTTCAGCGGGGAGAACTCGTCCTCCCGCAGCACCTCGTACACAACAAACGTCCTGTTGGACACACGCACACGGCGGCACATCATCACACAGGCAAACACAGCGGAGAGAGGACACGCAGGATTTTACCAGAACACTGAAAAAAAATTTAAATCACAGGAGGCGAAATCTTTTTTTAAAGACAAAATGTGAAGTGTGATTTAAGTGTGCGGATATCTATTCCATCAGTTTGAGTCTTTTGATACTTCCAGCACGTTATTTAAGATAAAGCCGGTGGAGCGGTGGTTGTCCTGCATTTACCTTCAGAGACATAATGTGTGTCAAAATACCATTTTAATCTAAATTAAATATTGTCTGTCCTGGCCCAGACTTAAGAAAACATATTTGTTCGGTACAAAGCCCTTCAAAAAAATCACTCCATAATCTTTTTTAATAAGTTTTTCAAAGAAAATGAGAATAATGATGTAAAAATTCATTCCCCATTCTCTAATCGTATAATATCACATATCGCAATTTGAATTTGACTCATTTTTTCTAAATTGTTCAGTCCCATTTTAAGCTGAAACGATTAGTAAATGTGCAGGAAATGACTAAGAAATGGATGATTTAAGAACTGTGTCCTTTGATTTACATCTTCTTTTTGTAATGATTGTGTATTGGGAACAGAAAGTGGGCCAGTGTGCTTCATGTGATCGAGTGTGGCCACGACGCCAAAATCACCTCACGGAGCAGCGCTGTTGTTGGGAGCTGGATCCAAACTAATATGATGCATTAAATAGTATAGAAGCAGATTTAATTAGCATTATTATTGACTTTTTCAACACTTGGCAGGTGAACAGCAGCCATACATAATATACAGCACATAGTATGGCCACACACTATGAGATCCTCTGTACTGACAAAGACCCGGAAAAAAAAAAAGCAGAACTTGTTGCAACGTGAGTCAGCCCATCTGGATTCTTCTAAAGCTGCCGGTCTGCCAGTCCGGGCACAACAGTAATCCGTCTCCTCGGCGACACAGAACACCATTTCTCATCCTCTTTTACTTTGAAATACAACGAATAAACCTCGAAGGAAGCCAGACGTGTTTTTCCATCAGTCCACCATTACGGGAATCCTTTCATTAGATGTATAGTTCTATTAGTAGTGACGTGAATCAAAGCTGATGTCATGCAACACACTGGAGGAGGGGGAACGAGTGAACAGCTCATAAACCTCCATCTTCCTGCAGAGAGCTTGGCTCAGGCTCAGTCTGCTGGATCAGACCACAGAGTAAAGGCAGGACCGGGGCTGGTGGATAGGGATCGGGACTGGAAAAAGAAGGGGGTCGGTTCATGCATGGAGGGACCGATCGAGGACCAGTCAAACCCAGAGACCCGGAGGCCTGCCAGGAGAACATATGCACTCCAGCCACCTCAAAGGGAGCATAAGATATTCATTGTAGTCTCAGTACTTTTAAGGCCTTTTAGTTTGAGGCGAGAGGCTGCCTGCTGATGCCGTCACACACTCTGTGAAAAACACACACACACACACACACACACACACACACACACTGTAACTCACTTGGCAAACTGGAAGATGTCAAAGACGAACTTTTCCATTTTAATCCCATTTGGTTTGTCTGGTTTGATTAGTTGACCCTCCGTATCCACGTATGGGATCTTCTTCTGGGCCACGTGGTGCTGCAGCTCTGGCTCGTACTTCCTGATGTACAATCACAGAATGAAGCTGGTTCATTGCAGCACTTTGACTACTTAATAATAATTACAATAATAATAATAATAGTGGTGATAATAACAATACAAATCATTACCATAATCATAGTAATCATAACAAAATACTACTAATAATCATGGTCATAATAGATCAAATAATAATAATATTGGCGTGGAGCTACTGTTCTTGCTGCAAGAAACCACAGCTCCTTAAAAAACAAATATTGACAGAAAGGAGCACAAACTGCATGAAAGCCATAAAAAGGTGCCACAGGCGTGTGAACGTTGTGTCTTACTGTACGACGTCTCTGAGGAAGGAGAAGCTGAAGAAGTGATTGGCAATGTTTCCGGCGTTGAACATCAGTCGACCGTCAGCGCTGCGCTTCTGAGCGGTCGCCAGAGTGATCTCGCTGTACTCCACCACCTGATAACGCCCGTCCACCTTGCAGACCACACCCACCGCCTCCGTCGGGTTGGTTTTCTCCACCACCTAGAAACGATGACGCAAAATGATTTATTACAGGGTCGGTAATAATCTTCAAAAGCACTTTTTGATATTTTTTTGTTGAAGTTCTCGTTTAATCCTGACTGATATCAATAAATCAAATGCTCTGACAGTCTTGGTTTAGCACTGAATGGTTCAGGGCCAAAATACATCTCTGATCTGCTGCTACTTTATGAACCATCCCGACCCCTGAGGTCGTCTGGGACCGGTCTACTTTCTGTTCCCAGAGTCAGAACTAAACATGGAGAAGCAGCGTTCAGTTTTTCTGCTCCAAATATCTGGAACAGAAAGCTGTAGGTCTGCTGGTTGCTAATGACAGAGTGGAGTCCTGATGAGGGGGTTGGTGAACAGGGAGGGGGGTGAAGCCACATGAACGGTAGTGGAGCTCAGTAATTTATGACGGGAGGGTGGGACGCTGCTCTGATCTGATCCTTCCATCTCTGCTGCACCGCACAACTCATAATGTCAAACAGGACGATCTGAAGTTCCAGAAGTACGGTATTTAAATATATTCTGTGTGTGAAAAACATACATACATATACATATACATATATATATACATATACATATACATATACATATATATATA